GGAAGGGGAGGGAGCCAAGAACGGAACCTTGCGGGACTCCGGTAGAAATGAAAGAGTCAAATGAGAGGGATAAACTTACGCGAACCGGGAAGGTGCGGTTCGTGAGAAAATCCCGAAGAGCGAGGAGTCTGCCACTAACGGTCAGATCAAATACATAGGACTTGCGGCTGATGTCAATGCGTTCAGTTCCTTACACTTGTGAGCTCTGATGTGATCCCACCGTGCTTCGACTGCAGGAGAAGTTCTTGATCCTTCCCTTCGGGTTTCTGGATAACGGGCAGATTGATGTGCAAATGAGGTGTTGGAATGTTCAATCGGTAATATCAGTAGGCTCCAGTCAACAAACGGTCATCGCCTGAACCGGTTTCTATGCGAGAAATTCAAGCCAGGCGTGCTCTACTGGCGAGTACGTATAAGGTGTAAATCAAGATTAGGAGAACGTAAGAGTTTTATCTCATAAAGGAAAGAAAGTAAAAGTTATTTCTCACAGACTAGAAGGATGATAGTGAAAGGAAACCAAACAAGATATAAGACTAATTTGCACATGGTGACTCTCCGGATGGTCTATGGTTGCACTGATTACTCCATATCAGGGAATATAGTCAGCCAGCAGTAATCCAGGTTGTGCTTGAAGCTTATTACATTCGATGTTTTGATCACTGCTTCCGGGAGTTTGTTCCAGCTGTTCACCACACGGTTTGTAAGAAACTGTGCTCGAACTTCCAGTCTGAAAAGCTCTTTTGCCAATTTCAAAGACTGTCCACGTGATGCCACGTTGTCGCTGGCAGTGAAAAGTGGAGCACCCGTATCAATAATGCATTTTATGCTCTTAAATTCTTCCATCAAATCAACCCTAAGGCGTCTCCTCTTCAGAGAGAATAGGTTCAGCAAACACAAACGAGTTAGGCAGTCTTGCCCCCTAAGATGGGGGAAGCACCTCGTGAACCTACTTTGCACCGCTTCTGGTACCTTCCTGTCTCGCTCCGGGTATGGCGACCACGCTTAGATAGAGTATTCCAAGTGGGAGGTGGTGGCCCGGTGGTAACGTCACCGATTATCACTACGGAGGACGAGTGTTCGAATCCCACCAGCACTGCCTGACCTTCCCTATTCGTGTATTGTATGGCAGCCCTCTAATTGGCCGCTTCCCCCTTCCTGAAAAATTGTATCTTCGTGCATTCAATAAAAGAAAGTAAAATGAAAAGAACAAAGAAGTGTGGACTCATATACACTTTATATAGGGGTACCAACACTTCTGGATCCCGCAAGAAAACTGTTCTCAGCAGTTGGGACAGAGCGTTATTTGCCTTAAGTGCTGCCTTTAGGCACTAGTTCTCTAATCTGAAACTACTGGTGACCTGAATTCCCAGGTCCCTCTATTCCTCACTCCTTTGGAGCTCCACTGGGTTTTCAGAGTTAATCAACCGCACCGAGCCTGTGCCTTCAGTCTTTATTAACTGTCTAAACTTGGCCACGTTGAGCGGTAGCTCACAGACTTCAGTCCAGGGTATGAGGGTATCCAAATCCCTCTGTATGGACTGGTTTGGGGGGGGGGACCTACAAATTTCAAGTCTTCAGCGAACATGTAAACTGAGTTCTCTAACCTCTCCGGCAAGTCGTTTACATAGGCTAGAAATGGAAGAGGGCTTAAAACTGACCCCTATGGTACTCCACTTTCCGTCTTGCTTTCTCTCGAATTGGACTCTTCTATATTACCATGGAAAGATCTTCCTCTCAGGAAGTCTTTCGTCCATGCAAGCAGTTTCGGATGGATTTTGAAGGTCCTTAATTTCAGGAGCAGTAGCCTGTAGTTTACTGAACCAAAGGCCTTCTGGAAGACCAAGTAGCAGACCTCCACCCTTTCCCCTCTAGCCAGCCTGTTGGTGATGTCATCTAAAGACACCAGTAGATTCGTAAGACAGGATCTCCTCCTCACCAACCAATGCTGGCTAGATGTTAGCAGATAGTGGTGCGCAACATGAACCAAAACCTTGTCCCTCAGTAGCCTTTCTAGTATCTTTAGTGGTACCGAGGTTAGGTTAACCGGCCGATAGTTTGCCGTCTGGTTTCTGTCCCCTCCTTTGTGAATGAGAACAACCTTCATCACCTTCTAGTCTCCCGGCAGATGCCCTTCCTGGAAAGATTTGGTAAACAACTTTGCTAGCAGTGCTGCAAG